GAGGTACTAGAATGGGGAGCCCGTAAGGGGGCAGGTAGTCTGCCGGATACTGGTAGGGGGTGAGCTGGTACAGGGGGAGCCAGTAGGTGCAGAGCCAGTAGGGGGGTGGTGGTAGGGGGGTGGTTAAAGGGGAGCGGCTGGCAGCTGTGTTTATCACTCGGAATCTCAGGATGGTAACTAGACTGTGTCACTTAGTTAGGATGCAATCTGGATGTGACAAATCCTAGCATACATCCTAGGATCCACAGGGTCCAACCAGACTTGGCGCCCGAGTACCAGACGCACAGGACGCAGGAGACGCAGGAGAAAAAGACCTTGCGTCCGGATGCAGCGCCCATGCGTCTGACGCAGGATTTAATTTCGCTGATGTACCGAATCATGAGGGAGGAAGACAGGATGTGCCGTATGGTAGGCAAAGCTGACCCCATATCTGCTGGAACATAGCATAGATAGCAGTCAGGTACCAGCTGTAGTGTGAATGAGTCCCTGAGGATCTAAGCCATACTGAAGGAAGTGAGAGCCAGAAAGAGAACGCAGAGGAGATGCCAGCCCAGCAAAGAGCATGCCTGCTGAGGAGCAAGGATAATACCATAGGCGGAATCAGAGCCAGACTGAGATAAGGTCAGCAATAGCTGGCAAAGAGCTGTTAGGTAGAAGAGCTGCCGCATGGTAGTGAGGAGGTCCCCTAGGACCTGTGTAGTAGGGTGCCAGCCGACCTGGAGGAGATGAGGAGGAGGAAGGTCCAAACCAGGTGGAAATATCCCGTGATCCAGCAGCATGCTGCAACTAGGATGACAGAAGCTAGCGAGAGTACCCATATGTATGTAGTGCCACTTCATAGCCTTTGGTTCCATAAGTGAGAGATAATAAGATATAATAATAATAATAATACCAGAAGCTAGTCCTTTCCCCAAGCAGAAAAGTTGTATTACTGCTTCTCTCATGTAATCCCTTGTTCTCTGAGAGAGTGCCTCTTAGTGGATGGAATACTACGAGCAAGCTGTGAAAGAAGGCAGGAGCAGGCTCCTGATAGTCCAGAAGACTACCAAGAAATGCAACCATCAGACAATCCCCTCTCAGAAGAAAGCCAACTGTCCAAACGCTAAGCGAGCCTAGTAGAAGCTAGGCCAAGAGGAGAAGGGGGGATCATAAGAACCCCCAGAGGAGAAAAGGACCACCCCAGAGCTACAAGGGGGAACTTGAACAAGGGAGGGGAAACAGAAAGGATAGCCTTCATAAGGCAAGAGGAGGGAGTATCAGAGGCCTACACCGCCCCAGTGAGGGGGATGCAAGACTGAAAAAGTAGTAATAGTTCTCTGGTATTAAGTTGTTCCCAAATTGGAAATATTTTTCAATAACCAGAGTTGTAACAGAGACAGAGGAGGTTGGCTCCATAATCATTTGTCTTATTTGTAATTTTTTTTTTTTAATTTTGTTTTATTATTAAGCAAGCACCTAGCTAACTACATGCTACCAAGTACATAAAAGAATGCATGGACCTCGTGGTATCGCGGCAAACCCCTTCCAACTACAGTCTACCCAACTACAAGAGCCATGGAAAACCTTCTGGGCTATAAAAACCCGGACCCAGGAAACAAGCCTGAATACAGTGTATCATAGTATACCAGCTAAATTAGAAGGAGCAGTAGGATACTAGTTTCAGGAATCAGAAGAAAGCATAGTAGGATACCAACCATTAGACCTATAAGACAGAGTCAGAAGAATAGATTCAAAGTGTCAAATAATTATTAGAATTACATTCATATAGTGCAAATTGAATCAAACCGGGACCTCAAAACTAGGCAAACACAATGTGGAATTAGTTAATGGCAACACCAAATTTGAAGGGAAAAAAACCACAGGGAGATAGACAATGCTGGACAGAAGAAGATGGTGGTTTTTATTTTTGAATTAAAAAATTCTATGAGATGCAATTCCAGCTCACAGTGCTGAATTTTTGGTAAGAGTAAAACAAGTGATAGAATCTATCTACTGTAGAGTATAAATGACTGACATACAAATAATCAGTGATTAGTATGACAGGCATAAAAAATTCTAATTCTGGTTAATCCTCTATTCTACACATTTCCCTTAACATGTTATTTCATCTTACTCATCATGTCTTGGCAATTATTAGCCCAAACCTGATCGGTTACAATGGAATTGCCGTTTCACCGGAGGACCCACCTTTAGGCACTTTGCACCATATCTCATTCTTACATAGAGTTCGTTACGGGGCCTCCGGGGCCCCGAAAAACATGGGCCCCCTGCACCGTTCCCCGCCCCGGCCCGCTCACTGGCCCGGGGCGGGGCGTTTTTGGAGGCTGGCCCCGCCCCGCCTATGCCCCAGACAGGCCCCCGGCAAATTTGGGTGGGAAGACACGGGGCCCTGTCCAGGGAAAGACCGGGGTAGGGCCCCGGACGGAGGGCGGGGGTGAGGACCGAGACAATACCCCCCCCCCCGGGCCCGTGTAACGGCGGGGCCCCTGCGGGCAAAACCCGCCCCGCCCCGCCCCATAACGAACACCATTCTTACAAAATTCTAAACCTTAAAAGAAATTACCAAAGGAAGAACTTACTAGTGTCTGTTTGGATACGACCGTTCGCGTCCGTTCCGTTCCGTTCCCCATACAAATTTTCTTACCCATCCGTTTCGTAACGGTCGTTTTGTATGAGAAAATTGAACAGTCTCAAAAGGTTCCGTTCCCGCCAAACAGAGCCTAAAAGAGAAGTCTGACCTACTGATACCAATCAAGACAAAGTAAAATCAGGGTAAGAAGAAGTAATAGTAATATGAGAAGCTACCATATGAAATTTAAGGACTTCTGAGAATAACTCCTAAGGAAAAGTAAAAGAAAAGCACACTAAGATATAAAGAAAATATATAGAAAATATTCCTCTTGCTTGTAAATAAGTGAAAGTAGAAGGAAAATATAATAGTAGTTTTCTCAGTACTGAATTCTTCCCAATTACGAAATATATGTCAAGTGTTAAATATATTATAGTGATAGAGTATGGCTTAAAAGTTAGTTACTAATAAGGCAATTTAATACTATTTTTTTTCTTTGAACTTAAGAGCCAATTATACAACTACTTCATATCTAAAAAAAATTCAACTACTGTATTCAGACATGCTTAAACCTTTAGAGCGCCAGAAGTAATATTGGAACACCTACACCAGCGGAGTGCTTACGCACATAGACCTGGTTACCTAATAGAGAACAGCCAGCCGGACATTATCAGATGTATAAAATAGGTATAATAGGAACATCATAATATTAGATATATAGGGGAACCATTTCCCATTGTTGAATGGATACTGCAAGCTTTGAAAATATACATTGAGTCTTTACCATATCTGCAGGATCCCTATCTACCAATCCTATCACAAGGCCGGGTGCAGGAACGCAAATACCCCCACCGTGGTCCGAGATCGTAGAAGGACCACCGCTCCCAATGGTGCGGTGACTGGGGCGCCAGATGGATCTCATCCAGCTATAGCATGTCTTGCACAGGATGTGCAACACCTCGGTCTTCCTTACCCTCCTCCACCGCTGCTTCACGTGATGTTCTTCCTCTCTCTCACTTCTTGCGCACCCAACTCTGCTATCCCTGGCGGGGAGGTAGTCATGCCACCCAGTCCGTATACGCCACTTTTTTTTTGCATCTACTCCACACTACCCTATTCTCCCAAGTGTCTTTTTCGGAGATTCCGTTTCTCGGAGTAAAATCATGTTATGCAGTCGTTTGCGAGTCAAGCTGAGAAAACTAAATTTACACAATCGAGAGCTGACACCCCTTCTAACCCTCCAACTGCCCTTTTAAAGAACCGACGGAAGGGAGAGCTCAACATACAAGGCGGCCCACAGTGTCTCAATATCCGTGCAAAGCCGTCTCCTCCGAACTGGTAAGCAAGGCCCCTGATGTTCTCAGCGAGCGTCATGTCCTGTTTATATCCCGACGAGGCCTAGAGCGGAAAGAAATGTGGAATTGAATCAAATTCATGTGGAATGGAAGAACAATCTTGCAGCCAACGGGGCAGGCAAAGCAATAGAAGCACGAGACCAACTAAGAAGTAAAATACAAGACACCACCAGACACCACTCCTTGAGACCCATAATACGACCACTAAAGTGCACAATAGGCAACAAAGATCTCCTTAAGCTCGGGGAACGATCTCACGAGCAGTCAGCCCAAGGCCTTAGCACACACATAACTTACCCCTCCCCGCACTCGTTTCCAAACGCCTTCTTCATGGACGCGTGCCGAGTCCTCCCGATAAAAGTAAAAATATCCTAACGAGTATGCCAGAGCAGGAAAGCCATAGGTACCCATCCTAACAACTTTCTTGTAACATACAAAAAAAGATGTCGTCAAAAACAGACGCAGGATATTCGACGGCAGTGTAAGTGAGAGCTCCAATTTTGTGCAAGAGCCCCATACAAAAGATACACTGGTATAATGTCGGCCTCGGTATATCTCCTCTGGCTCCCTATCCCTGGAGCTTTAGAAGGGACAAAAGCTACACAGTCAGATCCCACGGAACGTCCCTGCTACCTGTAAGAATCATCCCCCTTGTTAACCCCACAAAACGCGCTCATTAATTTCGTGTTGTGGGATACTTTTGGTGCGAAATGGGGGGGCGTAAAAATCCTCGGCCCATTGCTCTATGAGGTGATGGCGAGTGATAATACATGACTACGAGTCTTGAAATCCGCTGTCGGAAACAAATTTCTGTTTCCCCAGGCCTTGGGCATCTCCTACCGGTGGCTCCCGTGTCCTCCCATTTAGTATCTCTCCGCATGCAGTTAGCGCCCCCCCTTATCCAACACGGTATTGCAAAGTTATTCTAATGTAAGCAACACCCCCAGCTTGTTCCAGAAACTCTACCCAAGCTATCCCCAACCGGCGACCCTCGCAACCCGGCAGTGTCAAAAAACTCGTTTCGGGAGTCTCGGCGCTCAATGATAATTCATGATTAGAGAAGAACACCCATGCATAAAGTGAAACATTTTTAAAAAACTGACGGACTATATGCAGATGACTTCTAGAACGAAAGGTCTAGGTGACGAGACCCTAATAACAAGCTTTCAACAATTTATGCTCTTTTGTCCCCTCTCTATCCCCCTACAGAAGCCGCTTAGACGACGGTCTCCTCAACACACTCAATCCCATGGGCATCCTTGAGCTCCTTCCTGAGAGGGTCACAGAGTCTCGCTGTGACCGGTGCGAGAACCCCCTTATCAGAGATAGTCCCGTTGAGCACCAACTTAGTAGCAACGGCGCATGGGATACCAACCAGGCGGGCCATGGAGGTGAATCCTACCTTCTCCCCATATTCCACAAGGGTAGAGGTACGGGTTTCCTAGTGATCCAAGGTATCAGTCCTATATTAACCAGACCATGCTAGAAGTGAACTACCTTATAGCCGTCGGGGAGTTCAATATCAAACTTGTGCTGTAGCATAACCATGTCACGCTCGCCAGGCCCGTACTGCATCTTCTCCTCGAGAGTAGCACATAAGGTGCCCAACGGGCTACCCCTGGGTATGATCTTAACCTCACTGAACATACCCAACCACCTCATGCCATTGATGATACGCTCCTTCTCCTCGTTGTTCTTGAACTTGGACTTGGAAGAAATGGCCCATATGAGGTCCTCTTCCTTCTCGGAAGACGACCCAAGAATCTTCGCAAGAGCGGTCTTCCACGGAAGAGGGCTATCGGAAGGCTTTAGAAAGGCAAGCGGCTCGTCAGATAGGAATCCAGTGTCGACGAGAGTACGGACAAACTCGGGGAATCCCTGGTATCGGAGAGTACCACGAATGATAGTTTGCGCCTCGGGAATTGCATAGCGTTCCTTATACGTGGTGGAATCACGGTTAGGATACGCAACAAAGGCAAAACCTGGATAGATGAAGTACGGTTTTGCTGCCTCCATGAGCTTGGATCCGTCAATTTCTTCGACCTGAAAACATCCTAATTAGCTCATCTCCAGAAATAATTGGCTGCAGCAAGGCTCCACCTTCCCATCCTTGTAGTACTTCGCCGTGTTGCGTAGGGCAAGTAGGACGCCACGAGAGGACCAGGAGAACTTGTAGCCAAGGGGATTTCCAGAGGCCTCGGGGGCCGGGAGCCCACCACAGTAAGAAAGGAAGCTCAAGATCTTGCCACCCTTGGAGTGAATATCTCCGATGGTCTTGATAGCGTACAGATGGTCGATTCCAGGGTCGAGGCCAATCTCATTCATGACTGTAATACCAGCATCCTTGGCCGCTTGGTCAAGCTCCATCATAGCAGGGCTCACATACGAAGTAGTGACAACATTCCTCCTTTTCTTGATAGCAGCTTTAATAACCTGAGCGTGGTAGGTATAGGGAATAAGGCTTAAGGATCCATTAGCACATGCAAACCCAAACTCCCTAAAAAAACCCACCTTATAACAAGATCGTGCTTCGCAACTTCTTCCTCCAGGTTACCGGTATCGTTAACGTCGAGAGAAATCGCAGATGCGTGCTTGACACCTTTGGCTAGTTCCTCGGCAGCCTTGAGAGTACGGCAAGCTTTTCATCCACGGTTAGCATATACGCCCAGCCGGCTGGCGAGGGATTGAGATACTTGCCGACAGTGACAGCGACATCAGAGTCCGATAAGACACTAAGACAGGGTTTCGCGACGAACCCGCTCCCCAGAAGCAGGACTCTGGAGCTATGCGATCCAAGAATTGAGGCCATCGTGTGGGTTTTGAGTGCGGAAGGGTTGCTGTAACTCAATCGGCGAAAATTGTCGATGTTTGACGCCTTTTCCGCTCGAAAAAGGATGAAAATGCGTCTGTTGGTGGGGTTGTGGAGGGGCTTTCGCTTAGTCAGACGACCTGTCTGAAGCCAAATGTTGAGGCTCAGTACGATCCCCCCGGGTTTCAACGGAAGTACGGAACCAGCACTAAGTTGGGACCATCACACACATGATATTTCTTCCTACAAGTAGTCTAAAGACCCGTGACATTCACAAGTACCGGTACCACCAGTGGCAAGTTCTCCTACCGCAGCTCCCGGTGCCAATCACCTTCCATTAAATCACAATGTCATTGTACCCAAGGACAGCTAGGAGGGGAACAATTGGCTATGAATTCATGTAATCTCACTCAATCCAAGTCATCTCAACAAAGTGCTCATAGAGGGTGAATGTGTGGCACCAATCTCCAAACACACTCTTGCCTCCCATCAACCTCGCGAACACCCATTCTCAAACTTGTCACTATCCAACACAATACTGGCAGTAAGGATCAACGTTCAATACCGCCAGGGGAACCACTCCAAATTTCCATAGTAAGGTGGACGGAACATTGGTGATACGCGATAGCTCCTGCGCTAAGGTGAGAATCGCTTTGATTACCGTATGCCCCGCAACAGGCCATCATCGTGAACCGCTAGTGAGTAGGTATTGCGAAATACCCTATTAAACACCTCACTACGGTATCCTAATTCCCCGAGAATCACCCATTACCCACCCTGGATGCGAAAAAGTTCCCCCCTCCCTTTGCGCACACCATTCTCTCACTCTCACTCTCACTCTCACTCTCACTCTCACTCTCACTCTCACTCTTGCCTATGATTGTCGCAAAACGTGTTTCGGCATTGTTTCAACGTGTACACAATTGGCCGCTCTGAACAGTTCCAGTCAGTTCCAGACTACCGCTATACCATCCCATCCGCTTCAGTTCCGGAGAGGGCTTTTGGGAAAGAAGGCCAGATGTGGTTTCCATTAAAATCTTATTGATACCAGAGCAGGCTAGACTTGAGCTCAGCGTCTACCAGCCTCCCGCCTCTTTGTTTCCCACCACGCATTCCACAGCACATACGGTCGAACCTTATTTAATAGATTTTTGGTCGTTTCCATAATTTAGTGCCGTAGCGCCGGCAGCACATCTCTAATCGTTTTCCCTCTCCCTGCCTATCCATCTATAATATGTAGGACAGCGAATCGGGATATATTTTCAAAATAGCGTATGCTGCCACATCCGTTTCCAGAACGTCGCTGCTATTGGCTCGTCGGCTTGCAACGGCCCTTTCTCCCTCCCCGCCCAATTCCTATTTTATCCCCATCGGGGAAATAATGATAACAAAAATGTCCTGAACTTTTCCTCCTCGATTGCAGCGTTTGTTTGTGCGCTAGGATAAGCTTTTGTTTCAATTGAGTGATAGTATTCCCAGTACGATACTGGTATCTTCTCTCGCAATCCACCTAACTTAGCCGTATAATCCCTGCACCTAGACCTCCGATTGGATTCTCCTGTAGCGAATCCATCTATTTCGCGCGTTGGGAAACCCTTGGGTTGTCGGCATAATAAATCTAAATAGCAATACAGTGTCGATCACGCTCGCGTTGAGCTCAAGTGTAGCCAATCACACAAGTCGGGTGGGTGGAGGAATCCGATAACCTATATTGTCAAGTTTGGTCTAAAATCTGAGATCGCAGAAGGTCCGATAGCCAAGTGCCCTTGCTCCTCAATATGTGGCGATAAAGGCTACCTGTTGTGTATAGTACTTGAAAACAACTCGTAGTATTTGGTTTGGAGAGTCGATTTGCCACATAGCATAAATTGCGCCAATCTAGGAGCATCTTAGTCGCTACCGATTTTCGCGAGATGTCTGAAGGGAAAAAGCCTAGACCCGACTGCCAGCGATGCTGAATGAAAGCTGCTCATTGTTTTGGCCTCACCGCTGATTCATGGACGTATCCATCCATAGTAATGTCCATTGACAGATCATCATTTGATGCATAAGGCGTCCACAATTGAACTGACTTAGCAGGATACTTCACAATACCGGAGCACGCCCTCCGCTCCACAAATAAACAGAGGAAACTTTCGCCCAGTGGAAAATTTTATCGACACGGTAAGGCGTACAAATACTCCTCTGCGATGCGGGTAGTTGTACAGCAAAAGTCGAGCAGCCAAGTCGCAGGTCGAGCGATAGAATTCCGAATCGAACCCGGCAGCTGAGGGGTCCTCTACTCGAGCAGTTAACTTAAGGGTCTTGCATAAAATTCGGCGATCCTAAGCCCTCGGAGAACTGCAACCAACCTCCTCGCTTGTTTAACGTGGTCGCACATACGTACTCGAGTACGGTACTATACTGGAGCTATTCCCGCAGATTTCTAATCGCAGTCTCGTCACAAAACCAGCCGTTTCACCTGTAAGAACCCTAAAAAATCATTGTGGGACAGAAACATATTTCCCCATTTTCATTTTTATTCCCATGAATTCGGAAAAAATGTTTGAAGAGGGTCATCCTTTCAAATAAAACTTTTGCACAACTTGACTTAAGTCCACCGCACCCTACCGTACCGGTCGGTACTAGTACTCGAGCAACCACTCCGCCCGGTGCAAGCCCAGTCCAAAAAAGAAAAATCGGTTCCTGTGGTGAAAAACGGCTTTCCCAGCACCTTGGATTTGCAACATGTCTCTGGTCCCATTCCCATCAATGGTAGTTGGTTGTACGGGAAGGATGATTCCTCACGGCCCTCTCTCTCCGAGTTCTTTTTCCTGTGTTCCGTATCGTTCGTTCATCATTTTTGCTTCCTTTTTCCGGTCTTTTGCTTTTGCTTTTCTATGCCTCTTTTGTTGTGCTTCCATTTTCTTTTTCCTTTTTTTTTTCCTTTTTTTCCTTTTCTTTTTTCCTTGATGGTCTTGTCCATTTCACTCGCTTCTGAATTTGTTTTTCTCGAGGGTAGAGCACAGAAGGAGCATGGTCGAACAGCACCACAGGCCGATCTGGCGATGAGCTTGGGGATAAGGATGGAGAGGAAGGGGACATGAAGAAGCACCCGTCAGACCCGTTGGTGAGGGACCGTACTACTCGTAGAGTACTCGAGTGCTTCGTACTTATCCGTACGAGAGCACAACTGCTCGGGCACTCGCAGTGCTCGCTGGGGAGCAAGCATCCCCCTTGCAAACTCCCATCCCCGAAGAGAAGTGTCGGGGATTTTCCGAACCAATAAGACACTGGAAGATCATGCCAAGGCAATGCCAAGGATCAGCGAGATGAGAAGCCTTAGAGCGCGTCCCTTCACGAAAAGATATCCGAATTATCCAAATTGTCGCATCCTATATACTGTATGTGACTAGCGTTGCAGAACCTGTAAACCCATGCCCTGGCTGCTCATGGAGTTTCTACTATCGTCAGGCCTTCATGTACGATAGAGCTACGAGACTTAAAGCCGGGGATAGAGAGGGCATGTGGGCTTTTATGTGAAGAAGGCCTTATTTCTCATTCGTGTTGCTATTGCCCATGCTGCCCGTGATGCATGCTTGCTTCCTTTTGCTTCAGAGGAAAAAGTTGCCAAATGCTGGATCACCTTGATGTAAGGAAAAGTAACATTACTTCCTTTTCACTTCCTTTTTACTTCCTTCTCTTTTTCTTTTTTTCTTTTTGCCTTTCCCATACCGGTACACCCCTTCCCTCCTGGGATATCGCACAAAATTGTTTCGACGAAACGCGATCACGGCGGGTCTTCCGCTTTACCAAAAAAAAATCCCAACCTACGCTGCACGTGGTAAGAACCCGAAACACAAAGATTCGGTTTGGAAGGCTCGCTTCGCTTCTCATATCTCGCTTGGCGATGCCAGGCATCGCGAGTGGCTTGTCCGGATGCTCTGCTACCCTTGTCTGCTTCTTTTTCTGCTGCTCTCCTGCTGGCTAGCTGCTGCCACGGTACATCTTACTCGACAGGTGAACTAGGTGTTTCTTTGAAGAGAAAAAAAGAAAAGAAAGGAAGGGATGCACCCTTATGATAATCGCATACCTAACCAGAACCCCCCCCAACCAACCGAAGGCTGCTTTTCTGTTCGGTGTGTGTTTGAATCGAGGATTCCTGCTTACCGTACTTGCACATGCTCCAAAGCCCTTCTTTAGATCGCCAATAACGTTGTTTAGGCGAGGAGTGCGCGTGGTCCTCAGGGTGGGTGCGGATTCCACCTGGTTGGTTCTTAGCCTCGTCTCATGTGCGCTCCGGGATTCATCCTGTACGACTCTGGATTTGATTGCCAGACGAGAGCGGAACAAAAATGGATCTCTAGGGATGTCGGGTTGGAGATTCCCCAGAGTATATCATACCTGCACCAGGACCGAATTCGCTATCTTGGGATACCGGTAAACCCTTTTCTCGCTTTCGAGCGATACAAGTACTCGTACGAGTACAGTAAAATCCTCCCCACCAAGTGATTGACATGAACTGCTCCCTTCCGAGTATTATTTTGTGGAAATATCCGGCAGGTTGCTGTGCTCTTTGCGGGAAAAACGGACGCTCCAGGGTGGAAAATCTTAGCGGACTACCGGTACTCTAAGCCTAGGGAGGCCCCGCCGTTGCTCTGGAACAATCCGGACAGGGAATGCCCATTCGAGTAACCCCCCCTAAATGATGGGGTGCTGCTACAAGTACTCCAGTACTTTGAGGTGTTTGGCACGGGTGATCTTTGCAGCTGGGCCAGAGCTTTAGGGGAGCGATACGGTGCCAGTTTTCCGAAATCGACCCCCGTTACTCCTACTCGACTCCTCTTTCATCGCATGAGCTCTGTCTTTTGATGGTGTGAGAATTGGTTGAGAAAGGTAAGAGGGCATTTTTAACGAGGCGTGGGCACACCCCGACCGGCCTCAAATTGCTATGATACTGTCCTCTCTCTATGTATTACTAAGCAGGAAAAAGACGAACGCAGAAGGCCGGATTTCGGTGCCCAGCACTTGGCACACTGCACCTGTCTCTCTGCGGTTTGATATCTATGTTTTGGTATCTCCGAGATAGGACTTGAAGTGCAATGGTCCTTGTAAACAGTCCCGTACATGGACAATCGACATGATGGGGAGGCACCATAGGGACTTGGGATGATTTCTCTACCAGGGCATTACGGCCAGATACGGCGCAACAGCGATCGCGAAAAACTGGTACGGTAAATGTCCCCCAGTCACGCTCCGTACTCGGAACTCCCACAAAATCCTGCCATACTCCTCAGCACGCCCACCATAGAACATTGATTGGGGTACCGTATCACGGAAATAAGAAACTTCCGTTGGATTGAAGAAAGGGCCCATGCTCATAGTGGGTTCCTTCCCACTATCCTTAATTTAGAAGTCGAAGGTAGCTTCGCGTTAGTCTAGAAGGCTGTGAGTTACCACCTGTGTGGTTGAGACAAACCCGGATGATGAGTTGGGTGCTGGTGCTGATGGTGGTGGTGGCCCAGTCACTCAACCTCATCAACGGCACCAGGACGGCAGCTTCGGTACCGTACCAGTCCCTCAGTGGGTTTTTTGTTTTTTTCTATAGTACAAGTACAATATCATACTCGAGTACCAGGGAGATATTTTGCTTCACGGCAGTGCACGCTGACATGAACCTCCTGTTTCCTTTCTGTCGCTCCCTCCTTTTCTTTTTCTTTTTCCTTCCCTCTTTCTCTTTCTCCTTTCTTTTTCTCTCCCTCGCCGCTACCGGCAGCACTCGTAGGCCCACCACAATGTCTTTATTTCTCTCCATCTCACCGACATCGATGTTACGACGTCGTCCCCCACACGGTTATATTATGCACTTTATCCTCTCCCGTTCCGTTTCGAGGCGCTATCCCTGCCATCCCATGCTGTTGTTTTCCCAAACGCCAGAAATCTCTCGTAACCTAACCTAATCGCAGTAAAGGAATGGACCTGTGAGCAATGTGGACTTCTTTCCCCCCGTGAATAGAATCGACTCCTCCTATACGACAGGACTGCAACGGAAAAAGTCAATTGCAGAGAGAAAAAAAAAGAAAACCCACCCCCCTTAAAAGTGGCACCCTGACCGGAGTATGACCTCCGGAGCTGGCAATGGTGAGAACGGCTTCCCTAGTTGGAGAAGTCGGTGATTGAAATCTGCATAGCAAAAGTGTTGCGAGGTGAATCGGAAAAATAAGGTGTTAGGCCACAATAACTACTTCAATCGGTTAGTGTGCGATATTTAAATTTGGACCGATAATGTCCTGCCGTCCGCTAGAATCCGCTTAGCGTTTCGTTTCGGATCGGCAACACGAGTTCATGAGGGCCCATTTCCACTTCCCTGTAGGATTACTGCGTATGGTATTACCAGACTAATATTTTTTTTTTCCTATTTTACTTTGTGTGTGTGTGTGTCACAGTTACTTTCGGCACGATCCATGGCAGCGGAGATGGAATGAGAGGGATGGTGGAAGGCAAGGAAAGAATAGAACGAAATGAAATAAAACAATAAAGACTCCGGATACGGAGTATCACCCTATAAGCACGACGTACGGTGCCCGGGTCCGTATCATACAGTACACGTATCGTCTCCTCCGAGTGCTGTACGGTTTTCGCACTTGTCCAAGGATGGTCAACATTATTGCTTGAGCTATCGCCGGGAGGCTGATACCAGTACTCGAGTATGTGGTGCACGTATGGTGGGCGATGAAAGGAGACCAGATGCACCACACATACATGTACCGTAATCATGTACGGTACGCTACAAGTGCTGTGCTAGTACGAGTACTCTGCCCAGGCAGAGGTGACAGACGGAGTGGGTGGTCACCTGCAGCCCCGACTGCAATGCTCCCGCCCCATGGAGACCCACAGAACACAGTGCTGGATGGTGAAAGAAGGGAGAAAGAGAAAGAGAGGTGAGAGAAGGGAGGCGAGAGAGGGAGGGAGGGAAAGTGTGTGAGAGTGAGAGAGAGTGTGTGAGAGAGAGAGAGAAAGAGAGAAAGAGAGTGAATGAGTGAGTGAGTGAGAGGCTGAAGAGAGCGTTGAAGGGAAGAGTGAATGAATGGATGAGTGACTTTTTGTGCTAGCGGGGCTAACCTAGGGACTGCGTGACTGACTGACTTACTGAGTTCACTTGGGTGATTGAATTGAGTGAGTTTACGGGTATGTGAGTCGAGTGTAAGATTTCAGTTCGGATGGGAGGCTTTGGATAAATGTGATGGATCATATTTTCAGGGTCTACACTGGTTCACCATCCCTGTCTCCTCACCCCCAATTCACTTCACCTGTCTCGCGTGAACCAGTCAGCTCCCTCTCCCAACCCTGAGCTTCGATTGCTCTTCGCTACACTTGCAACCCAGCTGCATAGGACTTGGTGCTGGGACAACTCGGTAACCCACCAACGCTGCGGGTGATCCGACTACATTGTTGCAAGCCCACCGAGGAGCTGCCAAGAGAAACGACCCAAGCCCGCCCATTGGAGTGGGGTTCAGGAAACGGCTGCCAATCATCCAATTGTACTCGTACTTGAGCCTTCACAACTGCCTGGACCAGGGCTAGCCTGATGCTGTGTTTTTGGGACTTGCATTTCCACCCATTTCACACTACTCGAGTACAGTAATCCTTCCACCCTTCCACTTTCACTCCCTCCCTCCCTTTTTTTTTGTTATTTTATTTTTTCTTGACCCTTGCTCTGTCCACCCAATGATACTCTGCGGAGCCATTGAAATCGCCTCCCCAAGACACCCCCCCTTTCACAGACAGGAAACAACCTACCCTGCCTCGACCTACCGGCCGCTCTTCTCTTGACTGCTGCCAGTGGACCGTATCTCCCCACCCTTCCACTGCATCCCTCGATTTCTGCCTGCTTGTTGCCTGCTTCTCTCCAGTGCTTGTTACTTGCTCGGTTTGATGTTCGATCTGGTGCTTACTCAGTAGGGTGTGGTGATAGAGTGGCTGTTGGTGGTTCTGATGGGTTGGAGGTGGTGTGTAGTTGGTGTATGTATGGACAATGCATCAGAACCAGATGTACCGTACGAGTACAGTATGTATGGTAATAGAAAATTGGGTTTTCCTCTTTCTTCCCTCCATCAAGTGATGCCCCCCCATTTCACTATGGTGCTCGCTTCAATTCTTCCCTTATTCTCGCCTTGCAGAATTTCAGACCATCACGTCCTTGGTTTAAATAAAGACCTAGATAAATAGAACGAGTGCTTGTTTAGATAAGTTGATTAAGATCTCAAACCCGACTGTTTACCCTCAATTTTTTTCTTACTTCTTTCTCCCGGAGCTCAAGGAGATGCAGCTATCCTTATTTCTCTTGGATACCCCCCGGCGATCTAGCAAATCTCTGGACCTAGTCGCTGGTTTTATCGTATCTCTGTCCGTGTAAGTGTGTCTCTCTCTCCTTCTCAATTTTGGTCAATCTCTTTGAGCAGTGGTTTTAGCCTTCCCTTGGGGGTGGCATTGTAGCACGGGTCAGGGAATACGGTACGGTAGGTAGGTGGGAAGTTTGGCTAGGTTAGGAGGAGGTAGACTAGTGACTTGCTAGTGCTCGATTGCGGGACCGCTGGTAGTCTTATCCCTGCACCAAAAAGCAAGTAGTTCGAGTCCCCCCTCCTCCACCTCCCCCCCAATCCCAGCAGAGTTTCTCCACCACCCAATCCACTAATCCCCCTGGCACTTCTTTCCAGTCATTGCTCCGAAAGCGCCTGTCCCAAATCTTTGGGGCAGCCCGGTCGACTGGCAACAATCAAACGTTCTGCCCCGTCACACCATCGAACCAATTCCCACTCGAATCACCCAAGACTTGAGAGAAATAGACCAAAACTCGAAAACTGAATGGTGGCATCGAATATTCGCTTCATTTTATTTTATTTTGGGGATTTTTTTTTGGGGGGGGGGGGCAAGCTGGGTGGATTTGAGGGACTTTACAAACATAGGTGAGAGAGTGTGTGAACTCGTGAGAAAAGGGAAGAATGAAGTCTTATGGCACAGTGTTGGTAGGGAGCAGCACCAGACTCATTTCTCTCCCTGCCCCCTCCTTTCTCCTTCCCAGAGAGTGTACTGTACAGTACGATAAGTAGAGTAAGGCAACTTTTTTCGGGGGGATTCAAAATGGAAAAAAAAAAGAGGGCTCGCGGAAATAAATAATTAAAAAAGGAAAGACATGTGTGGACTTCTGCTCTCGGTTACGTTATTATTTCGAGGCTCTGCGCTAACCTCATCCAGAGACTACCCTAGTCCACCAAGCTTTTAAACTATTGCAGCCTTCGTTCCTATTCCTTTATCTATCCCGTCCCTCCCTGAAACTGCTGGACTAGATCGAAGGTTCCGAGAGAACATAACATCACCCATCCCACGACACCATCGCTTTTCTCAGGGTGGCAGTATAGACAACCTGCCAGCCAATTGAACAACTACCTGACTTTCAAGAGTTACTACATCAACCCACTCTCGTTTTCCTCCCTCTTCTCTGCTTTCCCTATTTATCAATCTACTCATAGAGACAGAGACCTTTCGTTGGAAAAGAAGAAGGAAAGAAAAGCAAGGCGAAAAACAACTTGATCCCATCCAACACTGTTTTACCTCCACATATTAAACGCCATCTCTTCACTATGGATATTCTGGAGTTGATTGATGATCGTGAGCAAACCGTTGCCGAGTCGAGTCCTCGTCCCTTCTGTTGCCCCGAGCAGAGCTGTAATAAGGTTGGTTTTCTTCCGCCCAGCATGTTTGCTCCCCAATCCGAGATTGAATATTTTCTGCCGTTCATTGCAAACTTTCGTGCTTGACTAACTGATCATATCTTGAACAGAGCTTCAATCGCAAATCCGATCTACAGCGCCATCACCGTATACACACGAATGAGAGGCCGTACTCATGCACATATCCTAATTGTGGTAAATCCTTTATTCAGAGAAGTGCTTTGACGGTTCATACTCGAACACATACCGGCGAGAAGCCCCACTCGTGTGAATATATTGGATGTGGGAAATGCTTCTCAGATGTTAGTCTTACGCGTTGAACTCCTTTCCTCTCCTGGGATGAAGAGAAGATTGGGTTAGACTCGGAAGCTAACTTGGTTCCTGTTGCCGCAATAGTCCTCCAGCTTAGCTCGACATAGGCGCATTCACACGGGGAAGCGGCCTTATAGCTGCCCTATTGACAAGTGCGGGAAAAGGTACCTTCGCTTCCATCGTCTTCCGGGTTCATGTACTAAGACTTGAACTAGTTTCTGCAGGAAGACAACTTTGACGAAGCATGCTAGAAAGAATCATCAACTCCGGACAGAAAATGATGTGTCGGATGATGATGCGGACGAGAGTGATGATGATGAGCTCTCGCCCAAAGCTCCAGGCAAGGCTGGATCACGAGCTCAGTCGAGAAGGTCGACGAAAGCTACAGCAAGGAGAGCAGCTCCTCCTTCAGCTCCCAATCGCCCTAGCGTGCTGCGAACAAGCTCCTTTGCTGAGCCCCTAACCCCCCACAGCCCCCAATCCACCGTCAGGTCTGGACACTCAAGTCGAAATACAAGCTTTTCCGTAGCTTCGGATTCATATCCCCATTCAATTCCGATGAATGGGGTGGCGCACTCTGTGCATCAACATCAGCCACCGACACCCCAGAGCCCCTACTATGCAGAGGAAGAGGTTGGAGATGGAAGAGAGATCTCGCCAAACGCTATGATCCAGCGGGACGATGAATACAGTACGACGCCAACTGGACCCTCACCGCCACTTCAAGGGAACCGTTCGTTTGACACTTTGAGCATTGTCTGCTCCACTCCAACCACCAACCAGCTTCTGGCGGCACAGCAGACTCTCCAGAGCAGCCCTGGAAGCTTGTCATCGTGTTCCTCGGCAACCACTGCTAGCTGTGGTTCGGACTACTTTTACCGGGCACCGCAAGGGGCATCTTCGAGTCACTTTCAGAACATGGGCCAAGCAATTTCGCCTGGGGGGATTCCGCCGTATCCCACACAGATGCCCGTACACACCGGACCTTCGCAGCACCCAATCGTGATGTACTCGCAGAATGGCCAGCACCAGAACAATGGAATGCTTTCCCCACATCCCCAGGCTCCGGTACAGCAACAGCAGCAGCCTGTTTGGTACGACTATCCATACCAGCAACAACTTTTGGCAGCTCAAACGCAGCCTCCGCAGCATAGAATCTATTACACCGGAGTGCCAGCGCAAGACCCGAGCTTTATCAAGGCCGAACCAGAACAGAACCTGCTCCCTACCCCCCGAGGCTTCTGCTAGATTACCGATCAGGGCCGGAAAAGCTTTTGCAAAAAAAGTCTACATATGATCATTTGGTGTACAGCATCTTAAACGTATTTATGGGAGATCGGGATTTTATTTTCGTTTCTGTTACAAACTTTTATCTCAGGTTGTTCCTTACCGTATTGTTTTATTGGCGCGAGGTGTTCACGCCTCATCTGAGGGTGGTCGATCGAAAAAAAAAAAGGGTTTAAGATTGGTCTTAGCTTTGCGGCGACAACTGGTGTACGGCGGGCGTGCGTGTGCTTCTTGTATTGTTTTCAATGTGCTTCTGTTTTTTTTGTCCCTCCTGGTGGCTACCCTCATTCGAGCATAAGAGCTCGTCGTACTGACCTTATAGCATTATTTCAGTGGTCTTATTATACCCTTGAGGCGTTCAGGAGAGCGATAGTCAAGCAATTACCTGTCGACTCATCCTCCCAGCAATATATCCTGAGTCTGGGTTGACGTCGTTTACTAATTTCTCCTGTTTTTATTTACCTTTTTTTGTCTTTACTATTCTTTGTCATTTTATTTACAGGCTTTTTTTTTTATTTTCATTCTCTTTTTTTTATTTTTTTTATTTTCACTTAAGCCCTTTGTCTAATCATGGTTTTTAGGATCCGATCTCTCAGAAACCTGGCCTGAACGAGTTTCCTTGACTCAGGTTTCTTGTGTCTGTACTGGTATAGTTGTACAGGCCCAACATCCCTCTCGAGCTCTATTTTGGTACATGTCTTTTTGATTTTGTCTTTTTTGTCTTTCCGAATTATCTCACTATTAATCCCTGTGTATTGTTAGCTAGTTCGTTTTGCATAAACCAAAACGACTTGGGTGGGGATATTTGCTTTTTTGAGTTCTTGAGTTTAGTTTTTTCTGTTCTCCCCTCTCTCATTCCCCCCGACTACCGTATCACTTACATAGTTCACCAAAAAAACCCTCTCAAACCATCCATCCTCTTTTTCGAAAAAAAAAAAAGACCAAAAACGGTGGCGGCAGTACTTGCTTTTTGCGTTATTCCTTTTTCTTTTCTTTTTAAGTTATTATTTCTTAAGGAGATAACTGGGTGGCTGATGTTTGCTTTTATGCGATTGCTTTTTGCTTTTGTTTTGTTACGTCTTTTTTTATTATTATTGTGAGAGCTTGTTTTTTGTTTTTCCTATTTTCCTTTGTGAGATGGGTGGGCAAGTTGAATTTTTTTTTAACTGTTTTATTTTACCAAAAACCGAAGGATTTGTTCAAGTTAAACATAGGTATTTTTGTTTTCCGTTTGTGCACTTTTTGGAGATTTTATCTCTCTATTTCTTATTTTGGGGATGTAGGACTTTATTTGAGGAGGACAAAGATTGGGAGGGTATATCTAGCACAAAATCTTTATAGCGAGAGAGGGAGCAATCCGAAATTGTAAACGTTTTTTTTGCTTGATTTCGTAGATATTTTTGTGTTTTAGCACTCATCCATCACGATCTTGAAATTGGCTTCAAGTTATGATGGTTGGCATTTTATCATACTACGGTAGGAGTGTTTCGGGATGGGTGGAGGAATGGTAGGGCGTCCAGTACGGGAGGGAGGTAGGGAGATGTGGGGGGATGAAAGAAGGTTCAATTTGCCCAACTGGTGCTTGTGAGATATCTTACGAAACGGGTCGTATCGGTTTACGGTATCCAACTCATTGTATGATAGCCCACCTCAAATAAGCTGTGAAGCGAGTTTTATCACAGTCCACCGTCCTTCTCAAGTGGTATCAATACGGATAGTATAGGGTACTGTACCGTATGGTACAATTCTCGGTGTTTCTTCTACTTTTAGTCAAACTATTACTTCGAAATCGTAAAAAAGCCCAGTCACTCCACTCGCTTTTCCCCATCCGCTCCGCTTCTTTTTTTCTTTTCTTTTTTCTTCTTTTTCTTTTCTTTTTTTCTCTTCTCCCTCTTTTTCTTTTTTTCCCCTCCCCTTCTCCCAACACCGATTACGAAACGTTCGAAACATGGGAAGAAAAAAAAAAAGTAAGAAAACACGGGTCTTGATAGCCCGGTGCCTTATGATACTATCACACACGACTCCCGTACCGGTACTGTACCGTACCGTACTAGTACTCTACAGGTACTTAGGGTACAGTACTTGAGTACGCACGCTCGTAAGAAGACGAAGAGAAAAAAAAAGAAAAAGAAATAAGAAGGGGAAAAAAAGCAATGGCACGGGAAAAATAAGGTCCTTTTACTCGAGTACGGTACTCGAGTACGGACGGTAGGAATTGTAGAACAGATCCATGGAATTTCCCATCTTCGGTGCATACCCAACCCACGGTACAGTACCTCTTTCTCCTCAGCCTTCCCCCCCCACACCGTATCATACTGTACGGTAGTCATCTATCCGCCCCCCGCCCCCAGGTCCCTTGCACTTCATATCTTCTAATCTACTCGTGGCATCGCTATCATCATCATCATCATCATCACCATCATCGCCATCGTCGCCATCGTCATAATCGGAATTCTTTTTCTTTCTGAAAAAAAAAAAGGTGAAATGAGAATTCGCCCCTTATGGCACTTCGTAACTTTGGTTTCTGCCCAGAAGAATTTACGGTCGTGATAACTAAAAGACTGATTGGTGGTGGGGCTCGTTAGACTAGTGCTGGTCAACTGGCCAGTATCATAGCTATCATACTTCTACTCGAGTACCGGTGGGTTGCTCTGGGGCAGGGGAGCACCGGATGATAGGGTAGGGTAAGGAAGGTGGAAAGTGAGAGACAGAGAGGGGGGGTTGGATAGAGCGAGTATGGGAGGGAGGGGGGGAAGGAAGGGAAGGAAGGGGAGGGGAGGGGAGGGGAGGGGAGGGGAGAGGAGGGGAGGGAAGGGGAGGGAAGGCAGGAAAGGGAGGGAAGGAAGGGAGGGAAGGGAAGGGAGGGGGAGAGGGGGGGGAGTGGGTGGAGGGATGGATCCTCAGACTCCCCTCCGACCCCGAAGGAAAGGAACGAGGGAAGAACGAACACCGAACTATCATGCTCTACTTGTACCCAACCCCTGCCATTCAGTTGCGGTAGGGATGCGGTACCCTGCCTCAACTCTACCGTGGTCTATTATAGTCTAGTGTGGTCAATCGGTCGGTTCTCCTGCCTGGGTGCTGTCTAAGTAAGCTAGACTACGATATCTAGTAATACCTCCAAAGCTAACCTCCAATCGTATTACAGAAAGGTGTGAGTGACTTACTGTACTTGTGGTACCGTACCGCAGGTACGTTACGGTACAGTACTCGAGTACCGTACAGGTGATTCTACTTGCGGGCCCCCGCGAGTAACTTGTGAGTTAGTCTAATTGTTTATTCTTCACGTCCGGCACCTTGGAGAGGGGAAAAAAGAAAAGAAAAAAAGTAAATAAAATAAAGACAGCCTCCCTCCCCACCTCCCCCGGGGAGAAATGAATGAATGACGGCCTTGAGGGACGGAAAGAAAAGGGTTTCAAGACTTTTTTTCCTTTTTTCTTCGATTCTTCCTCGCCAAGATTTGTGGAGGTATGATATTTGGGATCTATGACAGCACAAGATCTCTTTTTTTTTTTTTGCTGGATACCATAGGCTCCCCCGTTTTTGAGCCTCAGTGGGGGGGGGGGGTGAAGGGGAATTTACCGTGTCTGGCACGCCACCGGGTTGTGTATAAGACCCGTACTGCGATGTTTTCCACGGTATCATTTCCCTATCTCTCTCTCTCTCTCTCTCTTCGCCCCGTCGTCGTTACGAAACGATGGGGTAAAATGTCTTAAACTTATGTTTGGCTTTATTATCACGCTCTTCTGCGATACAAGTAGAGGCGCCCTTTGGACCACTCCCTTATCCCTCTCTCTGCCCGTGGGGCTAGTGAGCTTAGTTTGACTGGTGTCAGTGCGGTGCAGCACCGGTATCGTATCATATTATATCATACTTTAGTTCACTCGAGTACCCTTGCTAGCAACCGTGGCTGGATACTCTGCTAGTACTCGAGTACAGTATCATAGCTGGGAAATCTCAAGCCATAAAAAGTAAGGGGGTGCGGCCCTCAATCGATGACAATCAAAATCAGAAACTTGGGGAGTGGAGGGAGAAACCCAAACTATGAGTACCCGGCTAGCTGGCTCGGGCCAAGCTCCCCAGAACCCCAAACCTTTTTCACTCATGAAGTTACTGTACAAGCGTGAATGCCTCTCTCTCTCTCGTGGAGTTTATTTCCGGGAGCGGTCCTGGTGGTGGTGGTAGTGGTGGTGGGCGGAGCAGCCGGGATGAGCAGGGAGGGAGAAGGGGAAAGGCAGAGCTAAACAAAACAGACCGTGATGCCAGGCTAACCACAAACCATTCTCTATGGTAGTTTCACCCAATAAGTCACAAGTTTGTAGAATGACACGGTAGTCCATCGTGGGGTTCCTAGAGGTTGAGGAAACCTTTTTACTTTTTTTTTTTTTCCTCTCTCCAGAGTTTTCTGTTTAATTAGCACTTGGGCGCTTGGCAAGCCACTGACTGAACTTGAGAATTCGCAGCGAAACTTTCAGTGCTGGCCCCCCGGCGACCGCTATTGCGCAATCAAGCCCTGGGGAGGTTTAAAAAAAACAAAAGAACCCGGGGAGCTTTGGGCTCCCTTTCCCAACCTTAAGGAAATTTATAATAGTCGGACGCCTCTCAACGGATTCCAGGAACAAGGGGGCTTTCCCAACTGTTCGTGCCGGTACCACACTTAATTTCAGGTACTGGGGCACCTGCTTTACCGTACGGTGGGTGGATAAGTGGATATGCTACGGCAGCAGGATGGGATACGATGGGAAGAGGGGCTATGGACTTGAGTGGGCAAGGTGGGGAGGTTGTGGTAAAACTCTCGGTCGAAACACTTCTTCACTTGGTTATCGTGCTCACTTGGGCTGGCATACTTTCAGTGATTCCGCCCCCACCCAGCCCCATTGCCCAATGACAGCAGCGGGGGCAGGGGTTGGCACGGAAAAAAAGAGAATTGCAGCCCGCAGGGGGAGTTTCTTTTCCGGCATTCCTTCCTCCCTTCTTCCATAGGGGTTCTCGTTCCCGGTGGCGAATATTCTTGATGCGGGAGCCGTTGAACCGTTACGCGCGCTCTCGGGAGGGGAGTGCCCAGGTAAGTGAGAGGGTTCACCGCTGTTCGAGCAATGTGTACTGCTTGAAGGGAGTTTAGAGTACCGGTACACTTGAGGATACGAACATGTAGTTGACGCGGGAGATGACACCCATTCCCGTGGACGGGGTAGGACGTGCAAAAGGAAAAACGTGGCGACCACCATGCAGGGGAGAGAGGAGGGTCTACTCGAGTACCGTAAAGGGAATAAAAAAGGGAAAAAGTCCACGAGTACTTTACAGTTGGCTTTTGGGGAGGGATGAAGGAGGAGGGTGTGGGTGTGTGTGAAGGGATTCAGGTCATCCGGTGAATTTTCCGTGCAGTCAATATCAGAAAAATTCTATCAACTAGGGATGCTTGCCCAAAAAGCAGTCAATCCAAACAGATTGTAACCATTCCTCAGCCACGGTGAAGTACAGTGTCAGGGAGTACTGGCATCCGAGTGGATGGATGGATGTGACTTCATGTCTGAGGCGCGAGGCGTGATGCGGACTCGTATCACGCTAGTGTTGGGTTTTCTTCTTTTGTTTTTTTGCCCTTTTGGCCTCATGGTTAGATGGCGTTGGATGCACCCAGCATTTGACAGTGAGAGGAGGGAGGGGTTCACAAGTCATGGCATGCGGGCAGTAAGGTGCTCGATTGGAGTACCAATATCTTGCACCTTGTGGTCGGTTACGGTAACCTTCCGAGGTTTCTCCCATCAAGCCACCATGTCTGCTGCCGGGGGAGCAATGTGCTTTCAAACCAGAAACTTTCCGGACTGAAGAGGAAAAAATATCATGGTGCCACCATGGATGACCAGTCAGGTCTATCGTTCAGCGTGCCCCAACCCTAAGCGCACCTGACGGGCTACCATCAACGATCTCCGTTCTGTCCCTCCTCATGGAAATATTCGATGCCGGCGCCGGGAAAGAAGAAAAGAAGAAAAAAAAGCAATTCGAAGGTTTCACGTCTATGATATATTTTTTTAGCCTCGGAAGGAGGCAAGACTTATTAAGCAGGCGAAGTTTGGTAATCTGTTCGTTGAAGGGGGTAAATTTAGAGGGGAGACAAAGATAACGTAATGCTAGATTCCCGAGAAGACTCGATCGCGGGCGGAATAAGCGGAGATGTCAAATTTGTTCTGCAATTCTTTCCCGGCCCGTTGATTTGCGGATTTCTGCTCTTCACGTGTGGAAATATCGTTAGCTTGCACTACTATTGGCTGGAGTGCTGCACCAAGGGGGAGGTGCGGCGGCGCTGCGCCTAGTATCATAACACACGCAGCTAGTAGTTAGCAATGTGCGGCAAATCTACAGCTTAGGATCAGTGCGGGCTCGGACATACCGGTACCGTGCCAGCTTTTCCCGCTGACATCTCTGATCTTCTTCCCTTCCGAAGAAACTATCAAGAGATTGAGATCGTGCAGCGCAGCGCAGAGGAGGCCCCTGTGAGCCAATTGAATGACTGCTGATCCTATCTGGCCTGTTCTCCGCGAGTCTTTCCTGTTTTCCTAGTCATTTCCAACTTTTTCTTCTTTTCTTTTTAAACGCAATCCGTCATGGGTGAGTGGGATTCAGCACACCTAGGGTACTGGCAAATTGCCGGCACCTGCGCACGAATTTAGTGGCCGGAAGATGTACTCTTTTGTCTTAGAATTGGATCGACAATGCTTTCCTCCACTGCACCATGCTCTCAGGCATGTGATTCAAATCTGTCGGGAGTAACCCTAGCGAACAAGGGTCCCGCTGGAGATAATGCAACGGGCCTGTTGCAAACTGTTGGCAGTAAATTGCAGCCAAGCTATCTGCCATGCAAATATGGAACATTGGCCGTATGTTATCGGGGGTGGGGCAGTCCATTGAGACAGAAAACACCCCCTGGCATCGATACCTTGGCAGTTACTTGCTGGTTACTTTCGATTAATTTTTCTTGAAAAGTCCGGCTTTGCTCAGTTTGGAAGAAGGCAATTAATTCTAGATTTTTGTGCAGGGACCTTGTCTGTACTCGAGTATCGTACTGTGCTGTAACTGTGGCACCAAGCGCTATAAGTGATCGATAGCCGCGTCTCCGCGCTCACACCATGTCACTCGGAGAATGGCTTGAGCGTTACATAATGCCTCCCACGCTTGTCCAGATGTGGCCAAATACCCGAGCTCCAGCCGGTATGCCAGCGAATGAGATGTCTGTATGTGCTGTCATCGTGGGGTGTGTGTGGATCTGGACTGTACTCGTACGAGTACAGTACGATTGGCTTGTCTGCCGTCGCATCGCACCATGCCAACTCAACGGCAAAAGCCTGACTCAGCCGTTAGCTACGGGAGCATCCGCGCGACGAAAGCGGTAACACTTTTGACAAAGACAGCCAGTCCAGACCACCACCAGCGGGACGGGGGCTCCTCCAGGCTGGTGCGGTCTCGGTGCTTTGTCGGGATACGAGCGGAGCACAGATGCCGAAGGGTTATCGTGAGCTAGCTTAAAGTACATGTCTATGCTAATTGATGAAAGGAGATAGCTGGTGGTGGTTGTTTGGGCATGCGGGTGCTCTGTGTGTTGTTCCTCTGGCGGGGTAGAGTGAGAGGCTTAAGCTTTCCCCTGGAGGGCGGACGCTTTTGGCACTCGCAAGTCGGGGATGGTCTGCGGTAGGAATCGGCAATGATCAGGGCGACTGCAAAGGGCGAATTAATTGATTTCGCGAAAGTACACTTTATAAGCGAATAAAGTGCCTCATGGTATATACTCGAGTACTCGAGTAAAGTACAAGCGGGGACTTTTTTGCTGATAGGTTGTAGCTGGTTATGCGGGTTGAGTGGCCATCGCTTCCTGCAAGCATCAGTGGAGGAAGAGATGATGGGGATGATCGAATGGATAGGTAGTCTTCTTTGCAGGTTAAACCATCTCGATTCTGCAAACATCTCAGCTGACGGAAATCCCTGCGAATCACCGGCGATAATTGGCATTCGATCATTTCACCTCGGCTGGACGTAACCTCTATCCCCTATTGATAGTCCCAATTTCAAGGGTTGAGCACTATTCCCACAGTTCTAGGCCGGCCTTGCCGAACATCCCACGGTCCACTCGATTTCGGAAGCTTAACATACCAATCAATGACTTGCGAAGCATACTGAACCTATGACCCACCATGGAGAGTGGATCAACCCGGAAAAAGGGTGGCAAATTCTTGTATCTGAGTTCCCCAGAGGTTCAAATATACCCCCCGTGTGATGTGTGCGCTCCCACAAGATCTAAGCCCACAGGAAGACAACGCAGTTGATTTAGTGCAGACCCAATGCCTGGTTGTTTCTTCGCTGCATCTTCTAGATCGCAAACATGGAAGCTTCCGAATAACCGAATGAATTCTCTCCGAAAGTTCTCCCCTCGATTTCGAAGGACATAGCAAAGAATAGTTGGGCGGGTGTCAATGGTTGTACCTCATGTTTTTCCTCGTGCTCTTGGGGGGGGGGGGGGATCTGGCGGTTTTAACGGCTGGGCGTAAACTCAAATTCGTTTTCCATGTCATGAGATTGGAGATTGTTATTCGCGTGAGTGAAGGGGGGAAGACGCGAGCCGTCACGCCAATTAAGACGTTGGGTTCGAGGCGTTTAGAATATTTGTTTCGTTTCACGCGCCGCGTGGCAAACCAGACGACATAAACAGTGAGATAGATTGACTACTGGTGTATTTTTATTTTTATTTTTTATCTTTTTATTTCTTTTCTTTTCCTTTCTACCCGAGCATTCTGTTCGTGCCGAGTTTCCTTTCAAGAATAGTCCAGGAAAGATTTATTTGGGTCTTGCCAGAATTCTGGGAGGCCATTCCTGACGTGCCAAAAGCCCAAGGGAAAGTGATCAGTGCAGTGAGGGGCATTTCAAAGCTGCGAAGCCGGAACAGCCCGGCACGCAATCAGTGCACAGAGAACTACTAACCACGAATACGTCCATGATAGGATTAAAATGCGCGTCTCGAATTTTTCCCTAGGGGGCAATTCCAATCCAACGTGTAGGAAGGAAGGAATCATCAAAGCCCCCTGTGATCCCCTTGTCCCATGCTTTACGTAGGAGTGACTTTTCTCCTCGCATTTGGCAGCGAAAGTGATACAGCAACTAACTGCTGCTGGTGGTGGTGCAAATCGTCCCCGAGCAAGCACTGCATACGCGAAACCGTGGAGAGAGACGTGCCAGCACTGGCATACGTCTACAGTACATGATAGACAGACGCCGGCACCGTCCCACCAGGGGACCAAGACGCAACAGCGATACAGACCCCATTCTCCGATGGAAACCTCCTACCTAACCTCTGTTACGATCCCCAGGCCCTCGGTATGATACCTGTATGTACTCGTGTTGTGTGGGGTATCGAGGTGGAGAGGAAATTCTAGTGCGGGGGTGTGTGAGCTATGACTTGCGCAATTGCATTGCATGCCTCGAAGCGTGTAAAAAAAAAAAACAATCAATCCTGGGAGTGCGGCGCTGAACTTACTCTACTTCCATCCACAGGAAATCACTCGGTAGGATACAAGCGGTTATCCGCGTCTCGCGAGGGGTGGGTGTGGCATTTGCCTGCGGGGAAGTATGGGTCGGCGGATTTGTCGTTCCATCTCGTAGAACGCTTCTTAGCGGGTGAAAGCGCAGGTTAGGTTCCTGGGTATTGAACTAGCAGCACAGTCTTTGGAGGGGGTCAGTTTCGCGAGTGGATTTGGCTGGGCTTGCAGTGGTGAGCACATTACGATGCGTGAGGGGGGACAAGGGAGCTCCTGGAGCAAAAGGTAGTGAAATGCACATCACGAGTTTCGACGAGGGAGCGGTCGTGAAGCCTGCTCGGGTCATGCGATGAGAACCGCACAGTACTACTTGAGTGAAAATTTATCTCCTCTCACCCCGCTAGGCATTCCTAAGGACTCCTGTCATATTTTCCAGTCCAAGAAAGCGCTCGCCACGGTGAAACACTTCCAGCGAGTTGGGAATCACCATCCCATCTGGCCCTTAGTCTTAGGAATGAGACATTCATTTCGCGGGCTAGAATGATGGAAACAAAAGAAAGGGGAAAATGTGAATGAGAACAGAAACGCCAAACCTCCTTACCGGCTCCCATAAAAATCGAGTCTTGGTTCCGTTCCACTGATGCCATCCTCGTCCATTCCGATAAAGCAAAGCCCACAATCACAGCCCATCACCCCTCCCAGCCTGGGAGACCCTAACTATCGCCTTTCCCAGCCTGAGTCTCCCAATGATACATGACCAAGATGCCGAAACCCCCCCTCCGGGATGAGAACGGCTCCTGGTGTGATGTAATATTATACCGAGAAAGGATGAAAACCCCACCACGTTCGCCCCACCCACATAATGTTCTTAAAAGAAGAAAAACGACTTACTGCGATACCTGTACAACACATGCCGCACCTTTATACACTTTTTTTTCTTCCTGTACATTGTACAAGTTTTTTCCCTTCTGCTTCTGATATAATGTCAAGCCAATTCCCCAGTCCGAAGATGATGCTGTTCATGCGCGCTTGCTCTCCTGAGGTACCGCGCTGCCCCAGTATATTGGGTCAAGTACCTTGCTCGATTGTCTTTGGTGGCCACATTCCACTCGGGCGCCGGCCGGTATCCTATGAGGGGCTGCCTGGGGGAGCAAAGGGAAGTAAGTGGGCAAGGTGTATGTTATTTGCGGCATGCTATGGTGCTTTTTGGTATGCCTTGGTGCATAAGTACAGTCACTGGACAAAAGTCTTGGTGATGGCTTCGTCAGCAATGGCACATGAAAATAAAACACTCCTAAATTTACATGCGAGCTCTTTCACTGTACACTCACTACCCTCCAAACAACCACAGTAATTCTTCCTGAAAAAGCTAGAATGCGACTCCAATAAAGGTCAGATGCTGTGAAAGGCATTATAATTGGTCTTTTATATATCTTGGAAATTATTTTCCCTAGTGATAAGCCTGTTAGATTTCTTTCTGTCAGCCATCCTGTTTCTGTGGTTCACAGTTATTGACAATTCTATGTTTTCTTACAACTATTCAAGTGTAGATCCATGGATCTTATGTCTTGAGTTTGTTGTCCTAGCTATGGCTTCATAGGCAGTATAGGTAACTACATCTGTTAACTTCCCTAGGAATCTCTCAGTGTTAGTACAGTAGATGATGACTGTTAGTGAACAAAGGGGAGGTATCTAGAATTTATAAGAATTTATTCTTGATTTATCATTTCTCTCTTTGCTATTAATTCATGATTTAAAATTTCCCACTGTTGCCAAGCTACAGTAGCTATTCAACTCATACAATACTGGTAAGTACCCATTCAGTGCACAGACTTTGTCTCACCTGGAGCAATCACCAAGACCTTTGTCTAGTGACTGTATTATACTCGAGTACGATACCTGGGCCGTGGTTTACTTCGACGGGTGATTTTTCATGATTCTTGGTGAAGGTCATATGGGGGGTGAATGTTATGGTTGGTCTCAAATGTGCTGTATAGTGCTACGAAAAATCTCGCTAGAATTAGGTATTTGGTAACCCGCAGGTAAATATAGTGTAATATACGACGCTAGAAAAAAAAATTAAACTCGAATAACTAGGTGTTGATGTACTTTTGAGAGCGAGGTATCATAAAACAGACAGAATAAAATCAGACAAAATGGAAAGCATTCATTAAGGCGTTGAATATGCCACCCTAGGAAAAATGAAAGAAAGAAGGCTGAAAGATGTTCTCAAGAAAAGCCTTTGAACTTGCGCCGCACTATTCAAGAAACTGCGGCTGTACTATTGAAAGAATTAACAGCGAGCCCAATTTTCTTGAATAAAAACTTCCGTGATGACTCCTCCCTGGTAGGTATGAAGGGGCCTTGCCGACCACCTCGTAGCGTTAAAGCTATCCCTGTTTTCTCCATGCTAATTGTTTGGAGTTCGTTTAGAGGAAGGTCCCATTCGCAGTGAAGTCGTTTAGCTTTGAAAAGCATGATTCGCCTAACTCTGGATTGGTATTGATCTCACCGGAATAATGTAAGGGGAACTCACGAATATGTCAACATTACTACTAGGTCCTGCTCGGGGAGTTCTAGGTGAGCAATGTATTCGTCGTCGAAGAACTTTCCGTTGTCTAGCTGCTTCAACCAAAATTGGCCTAATGCTTCACGCTGTGAGTATGGTCTAACAACCCCATCCTGGCCGATGTATCGTGTGAGGCGAACCCGGTCGAGCCCTTCCGCGTCAAAAACGGTCGTTGTGTTACGGATACCCTCGGTGACATCTGTGCCACCCGGGTATTAGTACTCAGCGATGAAATTACAAGGGGGTCGCGTACTTGAAGCGAGATCAAAGACTCCAATGGCAGGCTTGGTCGCCAGACCAACGACACCCTTGCCAAGTCCCTTGAAGAACCCTAAAGCGCCTTCACGCTCTGCACCTTCTAGCGGCTTTTTAGCAAGTCCACCAACGCCACTGGCAAAGCTGGTGATGAGTGAGCCAGCACCAGATGTTACACCATATAACGCATGTTTTGGGCGGTTGCGTGCTCGCGAAATGCGTCTACGATCCTGGAACTGTTTGTCTAAGGTTGCCGCAGCGAGGCCTGTATGTGAGTGACCGATTAGTATTCATAGAAGATAGGTGTTTCAGGGGAATATGATTGCATGCCTTTAGCCATACTGCCTGTAAACTTGGATAGACTGTCAGATACCCCGAATACTGACTTCTTGACGAAACTGGTGGCACCTTTGGCAAACCCGAGACCAACCTCGGTTGGACGATCCGTCATAATGAAGCCGTTGTAGGGCTCGTAAAATATGTCCAACACGCCGGAACTGATATTGTTGAACAATCCAACAGGGTTGCCCAAAAAGTCTGCCGATCCCAGAATCTTGTGAATTTGGTATAAGAACTCGGTGCTGTAATGGGTCTGAAGGTGCCGCGCAAGGACTGGCATTGAAACCCTTGCATTTTCCAACATTAAAGAGTTTAGACGCACCGGCGCATCAGTGATATTTCCGATCGCCATTGTGAAGACGTTTAAGATAAAAAGTAAGGGGTTTCGTGATGAAGTCTTGTCCTCAACGTTGACTACTTCTGTCCGAAGTAGTGAAATATCAAGCTGCGCGGGTTGAATGTTTAGCAACTCGAAGTACATGTCTTGCCCGTCACTATCTGTCTTCGGCTCTGGAATGTCTAAGTCATCGTCGCATAATTTTCCGTCATCGGGTTCCATCCAGCTCGCACCCGGGATCTTGGAAAAGTCAAGGAGGGCATATATAAAGTCCTCATCGATTTCAAGCGCCATCTGTTGCAATAGGAATGTGGCGTATTTAATATAGAGTACGCCGTATGCTGTAATATGTTAGTGGCAGTCGATGGAATGGGATTTTGGAACAACATAGTAAACATACAGTCATCCTTTACTCGAGTGATTGATGCATGAAGCGAGGGGTGAACATCCATTTCTTTACCTGTCTTCGGTACGACACTAGGATAAAGAATAATGGGAAAAAGTCCTCCATATAGCTGATTGTCGATTTGAATCCACTTCAAAAGAACGTTGAGGGTTTGAAGAAGGGATGACTCATTGTATTTCACCTCCAGATCACGGAAGGTTATGTAAGCCAGTTCCTTGAGCTGTCTGTTGATGAGCGAGATTCCGATGCCAGCAAGTCGGATTTGGACTTGAAAGGTAACGTCACTGTCCTCATCCTTGACTTCAAAACCAGTGCTCGTCGCAACGCTACTAGACGATGTGTTGGCCTTGGGCTTGTACAAACTCTTGGAAGGTCGGTAGTTAGAAAGGACTAAGGTTTGTGTGGGACCATCGGCTCGAACATTGATCTCAATTATCTTCTTTGTTGGGTTTCCATCCTCACCAATTACGCCTGTTTCCACTTTGAAAGGAACCTAGAGGCGAATAAGAGCCCGGGATCTATCTGTGCAAAAGTAAGGTGAGAACTTACCAAATTACCGATCTCAGCAAGGCGAACATGCCGTTTTTGGTTGTGAACCATTAGAACAAGCTCTTTGCTCTTGGCAGCGGGGAAATCCCAAGCATAAGGCATAATGCTCCGGGGCGGAAGCTTGTAATAAACTGGACGGAAATCGCTTTCCTTCTCTTCATCATCGTCCTGGTTGGGGTCGGCTTGGTAGAAAGTAAATTCCTGGCTACTCTCATTTCGTAGAGAGAATGGCCAATTCCTCTTTTCGGTACTGAGATGCAGGAAAATAGTGGCCTTCTCTTGTAAAATTTCTATCCGTATAAGGCTTTGCCGCTGATTAGCTTTATGCATCTTAACGTGCACACTTCCCAAATCAGAGATATTAAAGGGCGATGACCATCGATTATTGATGCCAGGAAAGAGTAGGGTTAGTTGTTTGCGCTCGGAAGCCTTGAGAAAATGTAAGGGAAGCAACTCTCCGGGGTTTATAGTCATGATGTTATTTGAACCGGTACCGGGTTCTCTTATCTGAATGGTTTCGGACAACTTGCTCTTAAGGATAAATCGAGGTGCTAAAGTAACTGTTTTCGTCATTTTGTACTTTCCTTCTCCTTCGTCCACTGATATTCCGATATGCAGCTCAGTTTCCTTTGTTGAGGACGGTAGGGCCACGTCTGCAACGTTTCCGATCGCTTCAAAGCTGTGAGGTCTACTCCAGATCGAATCTCCGACTTTAAGAACAGCACGGTTCTGCCGGTCATCGTTCGGGTATGAAAACATGTACGGGACAGCTCGCTGAGAAGATCCTGCACCTGAATGTATTAGCTGAGGTCGCTAACTGCCAACGGGGATTCCTCACTCGTTTGTACCTGCCCAGCAGCAACCTTTGCGGATTGTAGCAAAGACTTAGACTTAACCATCATTGTCAACCCAGTTTTGTTCAGAATTACGTAGGGACTGTAGACGGCAGCTCGGAAGGCGCCACCACTGTTAGCAATCGGGAAGTAATGTAACTGAAGTCTTAATTCCAAGCCCTGGCTGTCCTTTACCACCAGCGTCGTTTCCTTATCAAACTCTGTGCTATCGGAATTGATTATAGCGAAGTCACTAGCCTTATAAACGGTATCTTGCATTTCAATACTCATGAGAAGTAGATGTGAAAGTTCGATAACATGGACTGGACTCAAGCCACCTTTGCGAAGGAAATTTGTCCACTCTTTCCCGGTATACTTGTCATAGATGCGGAACTTGAAGTCATACGGAAGAAGGTTTTGAACCTCGAGAGGTGCAGACAATTGGATCCTCATGTATGGATATGATTTCGTGACTGGGTTATTCCGTGAGAAGGTGGCGTGCATTTGGAAGTAAAATGGGGGCGCATTATTTCCTTCCTCACTATTGCAGTTGAGGCATTTGGTGGGCTTTTTCAGAAGGGTCCTCCAAAGAAGGCGGTCTTGAGACCAATTGTAGCCGAACCCAGCTGCAAAAGAGTTAGCAACTGATCTATACCAGAAGAGATTGAGGAAGTTCACCATCTGGCCTAACCACTACTGATTGGTGATATGCGGCCTCTATTGGAGCTGGCTGACTTTCGCCCGGCAGTATTTTATAAACCCTGACAATGTTCTGACCTTCGATGTCTAAGACACCAATCTCTACGGGAATTTGAGTGTTGTTCTCGATGGTAAGAGGTGACCTGAAGGTGATGTACTTGACATTATCTGTCCCAAGATGTACCTCGCATAGTAGACGGTGGAGGGTATTATCTTTTGGCGGGCGAAGTGTGTAAAGCGTTTCGCCTTCCTTATTCACGGGTATTTCGGTAATGCTCTCGAAACCTGAATTTTCAAGTTTGATGCCTACAATGCCGCTGGATCCGTCGGGGCTCAGGTTTTCCCGCATCTTCTCCCACTCTTCAAATCTCCAAGGTACTTGATCACCATCTTCGAGCTTAACTGCCATTGAATCTCCTAGAAGTGGGTCGGAAGCAGCCCATACATGCAAAGGGAACCCGGTCTGGTTGCGAATCCGGTAGGGGGAGTCAGCGCCGCGAGGTTTTGTCAGTATATCTTCGTTTTGCTGCATGAACTGTGATGCCCTGGAAGCTAAAGCTATTGTCTGAGACGTGATGGTCAATTCTAACATCTTTCGAGAGTAAAGGTCGATTGAGAGTTTCTCTGGCTGAACCGAGCGCGACATCTAATAGCACTTAGAAAAAAACTTTATTGGGTGATCCATCAGTAGTCTTACGTGAAAGCCCAATTGCCATGGTTCAATCAATGGTTCCCAAGCAGATTTCGAAAAGTTGTAGATGTTCATGAACAACTCGATATTTGTATCCGCATCCAGCTGCAAAACATGTTTAGTGATGGGCGGTAGATCGTGAATGAATGACGTACCTGTCCGGACCAATCTTTTACTCGGGCATTGAAATGCTTTAGGCTCAAGTCCAATAATGGTAGTTCATGCTGGTCTCCGATCAGTATTACTCGCATCCCAGCAAAATTGGCAGCCAACTCTTCCCGCTTCACAATTGTCGAAGAGGGTTGCCGCCCAGAGCCTTGTTGACCTTGGGATGTCCAACTCCTAGCAGTAGCAAAAGATTTTGCGCCTTGTGCGGCAGTTGAAGGTTCTTTCCCGCTAGCAGTTCTTCGCTTGAGAGATTTCCCCGACACCTTTGAGGTACCGATACGCTTGGCCTCACCTTCTATCTCGAGCTTGCCTTTGCTGGGTGAAGACATTTCCGACGCCTTATTGAATATTTGGGTCGCTAGGAGGATATCGCGTAAGGATACTCGTAGGACTAAGGGGTCAACGTCAATCCGGATGCTCTGGATGGACTGATTCAAGCCAATTGACCGATTGTCCATGGATCCGGTTATTGCAAAGTCGTCCAAGATACGGAGACGGCTGGTGTCGAACTTATCCATCCGGCACAAGAACATTCCCACTTCCTCAACTTGAAGGGTTAGAGCGTGTTGCTGCGAAACCAAAATCTGCTTTGTGCTTAGGACAATAGCCTCTGAGTGGCTCATTCCGGGGTTGGCAATGAGGATGACTTGAGAATCGACGACATTAACTTGGAAGGAAATGGATATTCCCTCATTGGTTTCCTTGACTTTATCATCTGGCCTAGGGCCCCTAGGGTCTGTGGATCTGGACGAACGATCTGTCTTGCTAAGCGAACCTAACCCGAGGCGGGTGCTTCTCTCGCTAAGATCATCTTCACTCTCGGAGCTCTCTGCTGACGCTTCTACTACTGGATCCTCCTCAGTTTCTAGTGCCGACATCACAAAGATCCGGAGGGCAAAGATGTAATCCAGGGCAAAAATAACCCTGGGGCTATCAATCGTTAGAAGTGCCACAAAGTTTCGCTCTGCACCACCTGAAATCGTAACGCTGGCCATAAATTGTGACCCATGATCATTGGTAGACGACATGATATTGCGGAACTTATTGGTTTCCTGGAGCCGGCTGTCTCTGATATCGAAGGAGTCGATTAGGAGCTCTGATTCAATAGAGCCATCACTGATCATTCGAAGCTTGACATTAGTATTGCTCAGCGAAGCTCTGGATAAGCTTGCAGCTTCAAGGTCGCCAACAGGATTGTCCGGGTCAGCAGTGAACAATTCTAGGGCTATGCTCCCTACACTAAAGACCATGTCCACCTTGGTCCAAGTATCCGAGGCGGCGCCTAGTTCTGGGTTCAAATGTACGACCTGGGTTAACTCCTCGCTCGTGTGTTGGATTTCCTTTTTTGCTGGACCAACGCTTTTCGGTGGCAACTGTTCGACGATTACTTCATCGGGATCACCTGCAAAGACCGTCGGAATAGATCGGGAGAGTTCTAGCAGAAACTTGAACTGCGTTTGGGTCAATTTGAGATTGAGGTCGGACATTGAACCCTTGATCTAGGAAAATTAGCTGATATCTGAAAGCGCAGGGTTAAATCTTACCTCGAGATCTGGTCGCTCGGCATTACAGATGTGCTCGAGATATGTAACCGCAAAAGATATATCTAGTTTGTCCAAAAGCTCAAGCTCCTCCCTTTGGCCTTGGTTAAAGTAGAAATCGGACGTTAGGCGCGTCTTACGGATTCCGGCAGTGATTTTATTCGCTATAGAGGAATTTCCTGAACTATCAAGGGGAACAAAATTATTTTGTGCGTAGAGCTCTCCGAGGTATGCTGTGAGGAGGTCCCGCTCTGCATGGCGAACGGAATTGGTTCTCGGAAAGACTAGAATAGGAGTTCGGACTAAGATATCAAAGTGGATTTGATTTGCATTTTCTTGCATTTGGCTAGCTTGATTCATGGCAGCTTGACGTGCAGCATTAAAAAGGGCTTGCATCTTTCCGAATTTAACGGCGAAGTCAATAATCTTCCGGAAGGGTTCTTCCACGAAGTTGACTTTAATGGAATCCGAACGGAGGTAGATTGAGGAGTTGTAGCCAGGATATGATTGGATTGCTTCAGGATCAAATGTTTCATATCGGAAATCTGCTAGTTCGTCACCCTGAATAGTAACAAGTTGCCGCAAGGGCGAGTTTCCTTCGGCGCCTTCGTTAATATCGTCAAACAGTGAAAAGTTTCCAAGCCGCGCTCCGATCCGCATAGTTTTCCCCATGAAGAAAATACCAACGTCTGCACTCGCAAGGCGAAGGGTCGCTAAGCGTATACCGTCATTATTGAGGATGAGGCCTATACTATCCAAGTTGATCTTGACACGGATTTTATCGGCCTCTGGGGGGTCATTGGAAACACTTAGGTCCGACACTCTCTCCCTGGGATCTTCTGTAACGTCTTCGAGGGGCTTGGCCGCGGTTCTGGCTCGATTATTGCCGGGATTTGTAAATGTTGTGATAACAAAATCAAGAAGCGTTAAAACTGTCTTTCTGGTTACCACAACATTAATTGTAGATATGGAAACATCCACGTTTGTCTCGATGGCCTCATAAACTGTCATAAATTCTGGGGACTCCCGTTTTACCTTCACGTACTTGACGAGGAAGAGGGGGTTGTCATTTGATTGCTCTTGGAGCGCATCAGAGGTGACAATTCGCTTGAAAGTAGTGGACGGATCGTCATCTATCAGATCTTCGACATTTAAGGACTTTAGAACTACTTCTGCAGCCATGTCAAAAGGCCTGACGTAGAAATCTAGGGCAAAGTGTTCGGCAACTAGGAGAACTAGCTGCTTATCGGGGTTCTTCCCATCTGGATCCGCCCGGAATAGAGATCCCCGTAGCTCCCCCACAGTAAACTTGAGCTCGAATATTCTCTGGTTAAGAGTAGGCGAACTATTCGGCATCCCATCAGATGCTTCCTCAAAACGCTCATCTGTCTCATCTTCACCATCACTGTCATCCTGAAGCACCAATTCTTGTTTTGATGAGAACTGAAAGGGGGTGGGACGGGCTTGGTCAGGCATGGACTTAGATTTCCACTCCTGGGTAGGTTTGCGTAGTAGCTTTTCAGGATTTGTTGATCCTTGGCCTAGTTTCGGGATTGCCATATCAATTATTTTCATCAACGCTTTGTATTTTTTGTCCGATAAAGAAGCATGAAGGACGGGAAGATGACCTGACATTCGGAACTTTGAAAGGTTCGATGCTTTAGGGAGGATAGATATATCAACTGTGAAATTGATATTGATCCGATCAACAATGTGAAGATGCTTTCTGTCGGACTTTGCTCGTAACTGTAGCTTTGTTTCTTCCACAGAGGGCCCAATGAGAACCTTGTTTTACAATTAGATCATGAAGAATGATTCGAATTTCAGGGCAGTAGGCACGAACCTGCGTTGATTCTAATTTCAAGGAAAACTTGTCATACATCAGAGACTCTAGCTTTTCCTGATCCTCTTGACTATACTTCAGCCTCTGTTTGGAATGTATTGCTCTGATATCCGCCTTCTTTACTAGGTCGCTGGTTAGGCTAACATGTCCAGCGTCAAGGATTAAGCAGTTCGACATCTCTTCGCAAATACTTTCAGGTACAATAATCAGAGGTGCTTGCAGATCTAACTTGGCGTTAAGTGTCTTGTGCTCTTCCAAGGCGAACTCTAGCCCTGCCCGTGTTTGTTGTCGGATACCTTCCACAGTAGCACCAGCTGATTCCATTAGAGCACCTATACTCTCCATATGCCGCTCCGGAGGCTTAAAAAAGTTGTAAATCTCCTCCACGCATACAGGGTTGTAGATAATTTCCATGCTCCTCATCTTCATAGTAACCGCTGAATCAGCACTTTCATCTAGAGGATTACGCTCAAAAGAAGCCTGAAAAAACGGTCCGCCGGGGTCGGGCTCCATCGTGATGTTTTCGTCATCGTCGTCTAATTCCTCAAGCCCGAGTGCGGGGACTACATCCTTGACTCTTACAATCTGGGGATATAAGGATCCCTTGGTTGTACCATCGTAGACTCTTAATCCTCCAAGACTAAGTTCACCGTAAAAGGAATCTGGACGTTGCAAGACCCTTGACTTAAATGTGTCGAACAGAAGCGCAAGTATTTCTGTTCCCTCTCCATGGGGGTCTCTCTTGAGGGTGAAGCTTCCGGTTCTTAGACTCGCCTCAATCTGCATTTTAACCGAATCCCGCGGAAGGTCTATGGATTCTGCTATAGCCTTCTTCTCATCCCAATCAATCGCTTCATAAAGCTCTTTCCGTTGCTGGTCGGTTATGACGGTACTATGTTCTTCCTCTTTCTTCTGAGAAGAGCCCCATATCCATGAAACCCATCCCTGCGCTTGCTGATGCTCCGAATTTTTGACCAACGCACGCTCCTTCCGCAACTGATTTCTAACAAGGGATCGATAGAATCTTAAATCCTCGTATGACAGCTTCCGTTCGAGGTCCTTCAACTCATCCGTCTCGGATGCTGGTAATTGCTCCTGCTGCTTCAGTTGCTTAAACAATTCGATATACCGCTTCCTGTCGTCTCTCCTCTCACGGAAGTAATCCCAAGACCATTTCTTATTTTTTTTGTGTATTTGGCTCAGAACGGCGTTGCCGGCGAAAAGAAACCATGCCCTTGGGTCCTCCTTTGGAGACTTTCCCTTTGGCTGATACCTCTTGTATTTTTGATGGCGCAGGTAAAAGTGAAAATTGTCAACCATCATAAGTGCGTCTCTATATTGGTCCTCATCAAGAATAAAACCAATTTCGTCAAATATCATTCGGGCTATCATCTTGGGAACATCTGCTCTACCGGTTTTGTTGATTTCAATATGGCCAGTTCCGCTTACAGGCTTCAGCACAAACTGGTGGCCGAAGGGTACATTGGCTTCAGACGCTATAAGACCCTTGAAATCTTCTACCATTGTTGCATGGGTATTGAGGCGACCACCAAAATGCTCGGAGTCTGTATTCCAATAAATGGCTAACGAGCCCAACTTGGCGAGCTTGTGGGTAACAGAAACGTTATCCTGGATAAAGTTAGGTTCCCAATTTTCGTTGGTCGAGACAGCAGAGAACTCCTCGAGCGTGAAACCGAGAGAGAACGGATGCTATCAAAGTCAGCATTCAAATTTAGTAAATTGTAGTGGGATACCTGGTATATACCCCTGGAGTACTAAGTGAGTCCTCGTATCGGATATGGATATTTTTCACCGTGATTTGGAGATTATCTAGGATCTTTTTGCCCCCAGTTAGTATGGAATATTAAGCAGATGTTGGCTATTTGATTCTTACTTTGGTGACCAGACTGTTTGTGAAGCTCTGGTTTTTTTGTAGCTCCTCCGGCGAAAGCCCTTCCGGGTGTCTGTCTTGAAGTAGCTCGGCATTTTGAAGCTTCTCTTGTTTGACCGCTTGTTTCCGCCGTTGCTCTTCCTCTTCGTCATACTATGCCATGAAAGGTAAGCGCCGCAGAGATAGCAGTACGGGTAGGGGATCTAAGGGTAGCGCTCTCACCTCCTGATCGGCCTTTGGGTTCGCTAGTAGATAGACGTCCTCGATAATCACTTTCACTGGCCTGCCTTTCAGATTACTCCAGGGTATTCTGTGATTTTATCAGCTGTGGATCGGCTTTCTTGATAGACACATCGGGCTCACTGTAGCGTAAGTTGTCCCAGATGTCCTTCCATGACATTTAAGGGGAGCTTCATCTGGTCCAAGGCCTGAAAAAATAGTAAGAAATTGTCCCATGGTTCGTGGGTGGTGTCGATAGGAATTACCTCTTTCTTCAGCTCGAGGTTCCGTAATCGCACATCGCCACTAGGTAGGACCAAAATGTCAGCTAAGATTCGGATTAGCCATTAGGTGAACCAACCTCCAAATGCCAACGTTTAGCTGTTTACTGTCAAAGTTCTTGATGTACCTAATCACGGTGGTCAGTAAATCAAAACACAATTCAGGATCAAATATCGCCGTACATCCCCAAGAACCGATTCATTAGCGTCGCAATCTGGCCACAAGGTAAGCGAAACCCGACCGAATCCCACTCGAGACAGTTAACATACCAATCCTTCCAACATTCCGATCTGAGATCCTGCGACCGGCAGTTCGGTTTAAATGCGATTCAGATTCTCAGCGGGGAAATATATCGGGGAGGGTAATTAGCCAGTCTAGATAGACTTCAGCCCCCTCGGGCTACCTGGTGCGAATTGCCCCGCTGCCGTGTATTCAATGCCGGAGTATGGGATGTTTTAAGCGGGATGTAATGTGATAAATTGAAGGAGCTTAGGGCCGAAGTAAACGCCGTAGGGACGAGTTGAATGAGGAGTCTAGCCGAAGTTTTGTTGGATGAGAAGTGGTGCGATGACTGTAAGAAAAGGTGAAGGAAGAACTGGGAATCGGTAAAGTTTAGTTTGGCATGACGTCTGCGGGAGGTAACCGCACTAGGATTGTGCGAGCTGGGCGCGGGGGCGGCTAGTTGTGGCGCACCCTGCAATTAGCCACACATTTTGTTTGTGGATCTGCAATTCACCCATCTTCATCGCTACTAGAGACAGGTCTTCCTGCGCTCTGTGGACACGGCTGCGCCGTATTGTGAATGGTATAGTATAATACGAGTATAGTGCCGACGCCCGGCACCCTCAAACCCACGCTCATCCTCGTCGGCTGTGCTGGGAGTAGGGACTATGCTTAGGGAGAGTTAATTGACACTTGTTTTTATTATTGGTATTGGAAAAATACGAATTTCGGATTGAGATTTCCTGTACTCGAGTACTCGTACTTGGTGGTGCATGCTCTTAGCTTTGTATGGAGTGGCGACTAGTGATTAGCGGTCTCCCCGAGCGAACAAGAACGAACTTCAGAAGACCCTACTCTAAAATATATGAGGCTAAATTAGAAAGAGCAATCACGGGGAGTGTAATCGTACCATACCAGAAGTGGCTGACTTCAAGCAGTTGGATTTCCTTTCTAGATTGCCCAATGAATACAAAAAATACCTGTACAGGCTTCGGAACTATGCCGGTATTTCAGGCACAAAAGGTTAGAGCTATCATATACATATCATTTTGGCAACTAGAATTGTTTATGTGGGGTGGGAAAAAGGCAACAAAAAACTTGAAAACCATAGTCTGGTAGATAAAAAGTGGCAAGACACTATGTTACTTTTACTCTTTGATTAATAAATATTCCTGAAAAGTAATATTTGTAACAACCTGGAAGTAAGAATACAATTATTTCTCTTAGATATGCAGTAAATGCTTGGTTTTATTGATTAAATGGGTGCTGTTATGCAAAAAATGTAGCAATCTCTCAACGCAACAAATATACTTCACTTCATATGAAGCTTCTTGAGCATGTAGAGTACCCTCTAATAGTCTTAAAAAATATTTATCAAAGAAATTTGTACATCTATAGACTCACAATTAGATTTTTTCAGATTTTACACTTTTCTCTTTTTTGCATACATAGGTAGCCTGAGTTTTCAGCTATCAGAAAAATATTTAAGAGCATTGTTTTAGTAGTAGAATTGACTGCTATAAAGAATTTTGTAATACTGGTTACATGTGAGAGTATGAAATATTTTTCTGTTTTACAATTTTTCTGTGGTTGCCATGCAAACTTGAAACTGTAATTACACAAAACCAGGTTTAAGGTGTCCAACCCATTTTCGCATATCAACACCCAAATAGGGGTGGTGTTATTCCGTGGATGGTCTGAGATAGTAAAATTCACGACCAGGTATACTAAATCAGTCTTGTGCACTTGGTTGCTTACTAAGACAACTTATGATGTTATAAACTATTATTTAAATGGAGTTTAAATATAGAATCAGTGGTATAGTAGTAATAGGGAAATAAATAAACAAATAAACAATAAAACTATAAGTAGTAAAAGGATAAAATAGTATATAGTAAAACTGAAAAATGAAATGAAACACCAAGTATTTACATGGGGAATAATTATACAACTTATAAAGTAGAAAAAAGCTACTTACTACTTTCCAACTTCTAGTAGTAGACTTTCCATTCTTGCTTACCGTTCTGTATATTTTTTCAGTATTTTTAACTATGAATGGATTGCTCCAGGACCTTTGTGCATTCCTACAGCTAAGGGATTTTTCTAAAAAGTGAAACTGTGTTTGAACCCAAACTGTCTGAAAAGTTAAAGTATATTCAAAAACAAACTCAATGTAAACCTACACAAACAATACAAGCAAATATAGCTAGAGAATATAACAAACAGAACCCTGTAATTACCAGTGGAGGGAAATCATATTTTCAAAATTAGTTAAGGAAATTTGCTTAATAAAACAGAAAATGATAATAGAGAGTAAGCTTATAAAACACTAATATAAAAATACCTAAAATAGTTATTATAGTAATTTTTATAAAGGAAAAAACCATATCCTAGACTTTGGTAGCTGTAGTATATTATTGGTACCTATTCTTTCTAATTCATACTATTTAAAATAAAGTAATACTAAGTATATTAATGTACTTTAAAAAAATATATATAGACTGACATCCTTTGCTAGTTGGAAGAGGGAGAAAAAGATATATTATTATAGCTTGCTATATTAGGAATAGAAGATTTTGTAAGTAGAATAAGATCTGTATAAGTAGAGAGAAATATTCAAACTATATTGTAAAACTAAAGCTTACCTTAAGCTTAAGTAAAGGCAATTTAGAAAGCTAGAAAGCTAGAGGGAAGTTGATGGAATATAGAAATCCTTTCAGAAATGAACTAGTCAATAATTATAGTCATATTTAGGAGTCAAAAAAACTAAGAAAGTTAATTTCGTAAGCATATAAGTTGTATAAAATAGTAATTTCTGTATTGGTCTTTAAGATCAATTCTGACTTTATATTGATTATAATCTGTTATAATTACAAGTATTTGAATATTTGCTTACTCTATCAGTTTAAAGACCTATTTTATAGCTAGTTTATTACTACTACTAGGATAGGGTATTTTCTACAAAACTATAATTCAATCTTTTAAATTATAAATTATTAGGAGGAAATAGAAGGTACTTTGATCTTACTACTGTATAGTTGAAACCTTTTCTGCTACACCTACAGGTCTACTAGAGAGTAAATTTTAAGGAATATTCATTTAATTATCATGAAGATAAGAAGATTTTTAATTTTGATTAATTGACTCTTAAATTTTATTGTTTACAGTACAACAAATTTGTATGCAGTAATCAAGCTATGGTATAAACTACACAGTACACTGGAGAAAGCTCATACAAAAAACCAAAACCCTAGCCTATAGAAACCCCCTAACTATCTCAAACCCAAGTCAAACAAATGAAAACTAAAACCTAAAGACCAAACTCGAAGTCATGTCTAGCCTAGCAATTACATCTCAAGGAATACCTGTAGGCAATACCATTGAATCCTGCTGGTCTAATTACAATAAGGCAAGATAGGAGACAATTAGATTCTAGTGGCAGGGACATAGAGAGTGATCCTGGAGGTCAGAGCCAACTCCTGAAGGCGGAGGAATAAAGACAGCAGGGGCTCTGAAGGTAAGAGCTTATAAAAAAACAGATCCAACTTGGACAGGAGTAGTATGGTGCTGGTGTTATAGGATGTAGAGGAGGATTTGAATTGACCTATAGAGAAGGCAGAAGAGTACTATATAAGAGGCAGTAGGGTGCAAGTTATGCAGGATAGTAGTAGGATACCAGCCTGTTAGCAGGTAGGATAATTAAATATATGTATATTTACCATAATATGAGTGTGGTTTTGTTAGAGTCTACATATGGGTTTCTTTAGTTATTACCAGGAAAACAGGTTTGAAGGGTAGTAACCTGAGAAAATCATTCTTGAGATAAATACTTTTTTCTTTTTCTCTATAAGAGAATCACTTCTATTCTATAATAAAGAAGTTTAAAAATAAAGTAATTAGATTAAAAATTTATTTACTATATAGAGTATATATCTATGATTTAAAATTTATGAAATTATATTATTTGCATGGCTTTTCTACCATGTTTATTCTTGGATTCTAAGGTTGCCATCTTCTATATTTTCTTATTTTTGCCAATTCCTCCTAAATCAATAAAGCTTTTCTTGGCTGCTTAAACATTTGGCCTGCTTATGATTATATATCTGAACTTGTGGCAAGAATATTATTCTTAGTAGGATAGGTACTTACATCTTCATAAAGTCTTTTATTGCCTGGACTTGATGTCAATATTATAAAAGGTACTGTATTGTGGATTTAGAATTCATTAATTCTGTACTTTTTTATATTAAATCTTTACCAATTACTAACAGGTAATTACTATAAGTTATCTACCATAGATTTTCTAGTATTGAATTTTGTTACTTATTTTATGAGGATTTATAATATCCTTCATACAATATAATTTAATAAAAAAACTATCATTACTTTAACTCCTCATAACATTACACCCATATGACCTATTGATTTGAAACTAGGTTCTACAGATAGCCAGAAACCTCTAGTATTTTTCTATGAAAAAAAAAAGAACTTAAGATATTTTACATTTTTGTATATAAAACAGGCTACAGAGGTTGCCAGAGGTTGGAAAATATTTTCTAAGCTATTTAGAGTATGCTCTAGAAGGCTATCTATCTGACTATCCTAAAATAATTTTTTTATTGTTGGAGGTCAATGTGTAGGTTCTAACAAAACCACACTCATATGAACGTATTTTTATTAGAACCTACACTTGGGCACTCAATACCAAACAATTTTTTTTGGCCTAGAAAGCTTCATAGACATGTAGAGTATATATTCATCAGTTGAAAAAAAATATTCATCAGTCTTATATACTGTAATTTGCAGCTTCTGAACCAAAACATGTGAAAAATACCAAAACACATTTTTTGCACTAAAAATATCTTGCACTTTCTGAGCATCAGGAGCACCAAATCCCGTCTCAATCGGACAACTGCCTCTTGTGGTATTTTGAATTAAAGTTGTTGCATTTTTTTTCTATAAAGGTTTGTTATACAAACAACATCATAAAACAGTACTAAAAATAAAACCTCTAAAACCTAAAAGTTAGAAAATCCTGACAACAATGTATTGTTTAAGGCAATAACAATGCTTTATAGCTGTAATATAATGTTATTGAGCAAGTCTTAGGATGTTGCTATACTAAAACATCATATAGAATTATGGTTAGAGTTTGATTGCTTTACATACTAGTAGAAATAATTGCTATTTCATTCTGATATTTTCCATGTACTTAAAATATTTTTAAATATTTTTCTCATAAAGTAGTAGCATATCAAAGTTGAGG